TGTGGCCTCCATAGTCATCAACGAAAGGGATAAGAGACAGTAGGGGCAAGCCAGGTGGTAGGGTCTTGGACCAGAAGAAAGACATCAGTCACTTCCACTCACATTCTTGTTTGACAAAACTCAGTTACATGGTTCCGATGTATCTATAAGGAGGCTGAGAAATGTTATCTTCTTCTGTGCCAAGCAGATTAAACTCTGTAGTGAAGGCACAGAATGGTCTCTGAAATATCATCCCCAGCATGAAAGTAGAGCCTGTTTCCTTGAGTAAGGCTCTGATGATGTGAAGCTGAGAGCAGAGGAGAGAGCTGGGGAGGAAGAGGCCAGTGGCCAGGCCTCCCATCCTGGCCCTCTGCAGCCCCACAGTGGGACACCCTTGCATGGACCCCAGCCCTCAGAGTCTTTTCTTTTGCAGGTCATTACTCTCTGACCTATCTCTACACTGGGCTGTCCAGGCCTAGCAAAGGCACCCACAGGCTGCAGGGCACTGTCTTCCTCAATGACCGTGCATTCTTCCACTACAACAGTGAAGACGGGAAGGCTGAGCCCTGGGATCATGGAGACACGTGAAAGGAGTAGAGGACTGGGAGAAGCAGAACCAACTTCAGAAGGCCAGGGAGGACATCTTTATGGAGACCCTGAATAACATCATGGAGTATTACAACAACAGTAGTGGTCAGTGAACAACAGACCGCGGGAGTGGAAGGTCTAACCCAAGAGGCAGCCCCCCAAGTGTGAGTCGCAAGGGGTCAGCAGGATGGAAATAGTCCCAATCCCAGCAGAGGAACAGGAGGCACAGCAGAAACACAGACATGTCTGCATCCCGCCCACCCCACGGCTCAGGTGCTCCCCACTTCCCCATCGATTGCCCCATCCTCATCCCAGGCTTCAGCTCATACAGGAAGTGATGGCAGAGTCACTTCCTATCCAGGCAGCTCTGACCTCATTCTATGAAGGATGTCACAGTCTGTCCTAATCTCCCTTGCAGCTCCATCGCCTAGGACAGGGTCCGGCCAGTATTGGCTCAATTGAAATTTGTGGAATGAGCAGACAAAAGCACGCGGCACACACCGTAGCCCATGCTGGGGGCTCAGGAAGTGCTGGATTCAAAACCACAGGCTGTTAGAGTTCCCTGCAGCCCTAAAGTTCCTCCTGTCCATAAGATGCAGACCAAGGAAGGGCCATCTGCACTGTGGTCGGAGGAGCTGGTGGCAGAGCCCACGCAGAGATGATCGCTGTGCCCCCAGCCCAGTGCTCTTTCTGCTAAACCACACTGCCAGCCCCAAGGCAGCCAGCCCCAGGCCTGGTGAACTGCTGGTGTTAAATTATCATAGAGTGGGTGTCAAAAGATGGGCTTCTAAGTACAAAAATGCCCAAGATGCTACATGGGATCTGCAGGTTTCCAAAAGGAGGCAAGAAAGAGATAGGAAGACGTTTGAAGGATGAGGGATGGGAGGTCTTGGTAAGAAAAATGGCCCAGGCTGTGTGTCAGTCATAGGAGAGGAGGGGGCACAGGTGACCAGAAAAGACACTGGGAGAAGCTTTGATGGACAGGAATAGAAATGGCAAAGTGGATAATTACAAGGAAGGAGGATGAAGCAATGAACACAGGGTATTAGGAAATAAGAGTAACTGACATTTACTGACCACTTACTTTGTGCCAGGCCCATCTATGAGCATATATAATGCTCAGAATAGCCCCCTGAAACCGTGCTCTTGGCATTGCTGTTTCGGAGGTGAGGAAATAGAGGCCCAGGGAGGTGACTGGCTCCAGCTCATGTAACATGCCAGGTGGGGGTGGGGAGAGACCAGGGATGTGAGCCCAGACAGCTTGAGAGCTGTCAGTGTCTGTGCCAACAGCACCAACCAGTGCTGGGTAAACACCTGGTTTTATCATCAGAATGAAGAGGCTGTGTCCACTATGAGGTCCATTTCTGAGAGTTTTGGTTAATGGGTAAGAAGGTTGGGACTTTAGAGATTTGGGATAAAGATATCAAACACCAGAAAGCAAGAAATAAGTTATTGGGTCGGGCGCAGTGGCTCACACCTGTAATCCCAGCACTTTGGGAGGCCAAGTCTGTTGGATCACCTGAGGTCAGGAGTTCGAGACCAGCCTGGCCAACATGTTGAAACCCCATCTTTACTAAAAATACAGAAATGAGCCGGGCATAGTGGCACACACCTGTAATCCCAGCTACTTGGGAGGTTGAGGCAGGAGAATCACTTGAACCCGGGAGGCGGAGGTTGCTCCAACCTGGGCAACAGAGCAAGACTGTCTCTCACACACACATACACACAAAAATAGACCTCTAGACCGCCCAGAACCAGAGGTCAGGCCCACCCATGTAACCAGGTCAGAGGGCTTTGACTTTGAGGGGAAGGGGAGCACATGAGAAAAAGCCCTAAGGGCAGGGACTGCCAAGGTCATGGCCGAGAGAGGCCACATATGTGTGAGCTGAAGGGACACAAAGGATGTATCTGGAGAGGTGCACAGGGAGGGCGTTCTTTGGGAAGCCTGGCGTGGTGTTGTCACCCCTGGGTATGGAAGAGTGCAGAAGCTGGCCAGGCAGCAGCTCCTCACCAGGACCTGCCTCCACCTTAGTCCCCTTCGGGCCACTTGTCTGTCACTTCTGCTCTTTTTTCATTTTCTTTTCTTTTTCTTCTTCTTCTTCTTCCTTTTTTTTTTTTTTTTTTTTTTTTGAGACGCAGATCTGACTATGTTGTCCATGCTGGTCTCAAACTCCCGGCCTCACAACATCTTCCCACTCGGCCTTCCAAAGTGCCGAGACTACAAGCATGAGCCACCATGCCTGGTCTCTTTTCTTTCTTTCCTTTTTTGGGGGGGTGGAGTTTCGCTCTTGTTGCCCAGGCTGAAGTACAATGGGGCAATCTCGGCTCACCACAACCTCCGCCTTCCGGATTCAAGTGATTCTCCTGCCTCAGCCTCCCGATAGCTGGGATTACAGGCATGCGCCACCATGCCCAGCTAATTTTGTATTTTTAGTAGAGA